AAATCCAAAAAATGTCAAGAAGCACACCAAAAAGAAAGTGCAATGATCTGCTAAATTTCCCTGGAGTTCTGCATTCACTCTCAACAAAAGGAGGACAAGAAGAGGCACTTAAACTGGCCATCTGCTTTTTAAAACCTTCAGATTTCTCCCTGAGATGTGGCAGGAGAGAGGGGGCAGGTGAGGTGTGGGAAAGAGTATATACTGAAAAGAAGCAGGGGTCCTTCTGTCCTGATGGGCAGGAGTCACCAGTGCATGATGCCAGCCACAAATGCTGACAGCATTAGCCAGAAGAGAGAGCAATCCATGCAATCATTTCCCTTTGCTTGGCACTCACTACACTGCAGACATGTTTGGGCCCTGCAACACAAGAAACACTCTGACAAATGAGAGCAAGTCCCATTCAAAGCCTACTGAAATGGACCAGGGGCTGAAGCACTTCCCTGTGAGAAGTGGCTGAGTAAGCCAGGCCGGACCTAAGGCTTCGAGGGAGAAGCTACCAGCACACCCACAGTTCACCAGGAAAACAGCCCAGCAGGGAGCAGCTTGCACAGAGAGGCTGAGCAGTATCCATCCTTGGAGGTTTTAAAGATGCACTGGGAAAAGACCTGAGCAACTCAATCTGAATTCCACACGGTCACTGCTTTCAGGGGAAGGCTACATTTGTGGACATCCCAAGGTCCCTTTTAACCTGAGTGAATCTGATTTGTGTTTGCTGTCTCCATTATTGTGATGCCACTGACCAGCAATAATAGGTGTCAGTTTTGTAGGAACATGGTCATGCTCTGTTCCTTTCTGCTGACCTCTACTACCATTTCTATTCTAAGTTGTCTCTGAACTCTCAAGTGAAAGTGATTCTATTTATATTCATCTCATGAAATGTTTAAAGCATCAGAAAAAAACCTGCCTACAATATGAAACACAGATCTGAGGTGTAAAAGGAATACCAATGCTCTCCTTTTTCTGAGCAGCAGGTGGGCACAAGTCTTATTTCCATTAAGATATTAAAGCCATAAGCTTGAATATGTTTTTTTATCACTTTGATAAGAGTTTTCATGAAGATATTTACAGGTAAAAGCCATATCAGATTTGGTTTGTGAAAGCAAGGAAGCCAAGTGAAGCAAAATGAAACATCTGATCACTCTGATATTTAGTAACTGTTTGGCAAAGTCTTTAATAGGATCTTGAAACTATTAATTTCACTGATTTTTTTGGGGGAAAAAACATTTTCCCAAATAAGCAGGAAGACAAAAAAGATTTACACTAGAAAGTAATTATTAGGCTTCACACAACAGAGTACACAGACACCTCCTCCCTGTCATGAAGCTCCACCATCTGTTTTGTTTGCCATCCCCAAATCAGAAGATAAATTCTGTTCACTTTACAGCAAAAGTTTCTGAAATCAGCTTTTAAGAAGCAAGGAATTTTAATAGAAAATTAGTATCTGTGAGAAAAAGCTTCAATTAGTAAGTATCTCCTATTGATTTGTATTGTGGCATAGACATATCTTGGAAACAATCTTGAAATCCATGCCACCTCAGTACTGATAACTTCTCATAAAAATCACAGGAAAATTGAAACTTCTGACAGTAACAAACAGTATGACTGAATGGATTCCAGACTTACTAAAATACTGGTGTGGAATAAAATGGTGGTCATCTATTTTACAAAACCTCCAAGATTAATTGTTGACCCTGAAAACATAGGGAGAAGACAAGACATCGAGGCTTGTGGTAACATGACACCTAGTGTTCACTTTCAGGAAGCTTCAGCGTAGGTGGGTGCCAAATGCTGAAGAAACATCAATGACCCAGGACCTCTTTCCAAAAAAAAAAAAGATAGATATTTATACTAGCATCTCTAAGCAAGTGCCTAAATCACACAGACACAGGGAAAACCGAGAGGAGGAAAGGAAAATCTGCCTGTGCTGCACTTGCCCTTCTTTTTGAGTACATAATTTGGGTAACTGCAGAGAAGAGTGCTATCCAAAAAAGTTTCATGTTGCTGGCTTTTTTTCTTTGGGTTTCTGCTGAAAAAAGAAACAGTCTACCTATTGATCTTTTTCTGGTTTTGTATGGAAGCTAGTAGAAAATTGGATTTACAACACATAATAAGCACAAGTTTAAAATAATACTCCCTATTTAAAAAAATAAACAACAAAACAAAAAAAAAAACCCCAAAACCACAAAAAAGTCTATTTCTACATAGCAATGAATTGTACACTGTACAGTTGTACATAAAATTGTTGTACATTGTACTGTACATAAAATCGTGGTGTATCAACAGTACAAGTGCCTCTTACGTTACCATTCCCTTCCAAGTTTCTAGCAACACAATGAAAACCACAGTACCTAATGCATACTAGACCAATGAGACCATAAAATCCATGTAAGAACATGGCACAAGCGCTCTAACATAGTAACAATTACTAAGAGATATGACCCCTTGAGTATTTCCAAAGGCAAAGGGTGGAAATGATTATATGAAAAATTAGAACAAAAAGTTCACTACAGATAGAGGAAACATATACTGATTTTTGAAATCAGATTAATAAGAATCCGTATGTGATACTGAATGAAACAGGTGTTTCATGACACTGAGATTGGCAAAACATTAAAGACAAAGTCTGACTGAAACTTCAGTTCTACAGAACTGAACATAAACAACTGCACTTCAAGAAGTTTATAGATACATTGATATAGATACATATCAATACATGCATGCAAAACAAATTAGTATTGTATTCCAAATCTAGAATTGTCTTTAATTTGAAAGTATGCTGAGGTGTTTTCCAGGGGGTAGTATTTAACTGCTATCCTTCTGAAGAGAAAAAAACCTAAAAAGACATCCCATCTATCTTTTAGTATTAATATTGTCTAGCTACCAGAATCCCAAACAGTTTAATTGACTGAGCAAGCAACATTTAGTAAACACTAACTACTATTATATCTTGTTTCTGAGAAAAATGTGCACACAGTCAATACACAGACATTAAAATACACATTTTTCTTTTAACAAGGTAAACAGGTCTAGATTCCAATACTGCTAAATAACTTAAGAAGATGCAAGTCAAGCACCTGTCACACTGTGAATTATAAATCAAGTTTTTATTTTTCAATACATTTTGAGCACAATTTTCTTCAAAGTTTAGTATGTGACATATCTGGGGAGCCAAGTAATTATGAACTCACCTAAATAAATTACTGCTGTATCATGTCCCTGTTGAACTTGAGTCTAAATTGCTTTTTTAACTTACACTATTAATTCCTTTTTTCAATCACATACCTCTATCAGAAATAGCCAGGAAAGTGAGGCTAAATTTGTCTGTTTGTTGGAAACAGGCAGCTTGCCAAAGCCTTAGATTCATAGCACTCTTTTTCATCTAGTCAAGGTAAATTGTGTAGTCACAAGCCTTTAGTTCCTATAGCTCTTGTCCAAGAGGTCAGTTCACCATTCATGAAGTGCCTAGTTTGGTCCCAGGCAGAAATCCCATGAGTAGCAGCAGAAATGGCATGTCTATGTATGTTAAACATACACATTTGGCACAACTACAAGAATACCAGTCATAAATTTCACCTATTTATAATGATTATCCCTCACCTTTAACACTGAAATATCCTGAACTGCCATACAACCTACTCAGCTGTTAACATTTTAGATAATTGCTGCACAGAATATTTTTGCAGTTCCTGAACAGGTCTTACAAATTAAGAACTGCGAAACAACTTTAAAACACAGAGTATTCCACAGTAGGCTTAATTCCATTATTTCTTTTTGAATTATAGAAATTCTAAAAGCTCAAAGGTTAAAACTATGCATCTCCTCACACACAGTCAGAAGACAGATGCAAATACAGGCTGTGAAATCTTCTCAGACAAGACAACAGTTTGTTTCCACAGATTTATGTGCAACTGTCATACATCCTTATGATGACAGGTATCCTCTATACCCTTTTCTTCTACACTTGAATTTTCAAATATTACTTTCATTTTTATGATTACAGAAGCTTGAAGTAGTTACAAATTCACTGTGAGGGAGAACATGTCTCTTAAGTCAGCTTTCATGCAGCTGAGGCACCTTCTAAACAACACCCTGGATAAAACATCAGGAAGATAAACACAGTTTTTCTTTTAAAAATTGCAAGGTTGTGGTCACCGAAACAGCTCGAAGGATGGGGGGGGGAAGTTTATTTTAGCACTGCTACATATTTTATATAAATACAATGAATAATTTTTTAGCTGATGATCGAAAACGATTGCAATGACGCTTCAACAAAACAACTTTACATGCCAAGAAGAGCGGCGTGTTAAACCACAGAGTCTGTAATGATTTTAAAAGGTCCGCAGGGCAGACCTCCTACATTTTATATAAACCAGGACAGCGGAGAATCGCCGTCAGAGGGCATCACTCATGAATGATTTGCCAAATACGCTGCCGTGAAGTAGCAAGTTATTTTCTAACTCCCTCACGGGCTTCTCCTAAAAGTGCATGAGGTGCTAAATACATTCAAGTAACTGACCTATGGTGTTTTGTTGTTGTTGTGCTTTTTTTTCCTTTTTTAAATTTATCATCGCCGGCTTGCAGCTGGGTTTCAAACTGAGTGATTCAGCGCGGTCCCCGGGAAACTCGACCCTCACGCTGCTGCCTGTCACGGCGCGCTGAAAATCGCGGCAGGATCAACCGGGACAGGTCCCGCCCGGCCGCGCTCGAGCCCCGGTGCCGCCCGGCTGCGGGAGGGAGGCGGGATGCACCCGTCCCGCCCGGGGAGCCGCGGCAGCTGCCCCCTCGTCCCGGCGAGCTCCGCCGGCAGCCCGAGCCCGAGCCCGAGCCCGAGCCCGAGCCCGAGCCCGAGCCCGAGCCCGAGCCCGCGCCGCCCCGCTCGCCGTCCCTCCCGCAGGCGCCTCCCTCCCGCCCTCAGGGCAGCGCCGCCGGCGGGACCCTCCCCACCCCCGCCCCGCCGCGGGAGTTGGCTCCGGGACGGGCTCAGGGGGAGCGGTACTTGCCCAGGTGGGGACGAGGAGGCTGCCGGGCCGTTCGAGCGGTGCTGGAGGAGGCTGCTTCCCCGCCACGCTCATCTCCTCCCATGCAGCTGGCGTAGTCCTCTCTCTCAGTCGGGCGGCTCGGCGGGAAGCGGCGCCTCCGGCACCGACTCCCAAGCGCCCGCCCCTCCCCGCAGCGGCGGCGTCCCGGCTCCGCGGGGCAGGCTGGCTCCGCGGGGCAGGCTGGCTCCGCGCTGCCCTCCGCCGCCCGCGGCCGGGCGAGGCGGGATGGCACGGGGGTGTTCGCCGAGGGCTCGGAGCCGGGAGGGAAGAGGAAGGCAGCGGCGTGGTGCTGGCTATTTAACTTGGCTCTTCGCTGGGGGAAGGTGCCGCCGTTCCCGCTCCCCTCCCCTCCGCGGCCGCATCCCGACAGCCGAGCTCTGGGTGCTCCTGCGAGCGCTGCCGCGCTCCTCCCCGACACCGCACGGCTCCGCTCGGCCCGCCCGCGCCGCCCCGCGGGGCAAAGGCGGGCGGGGGCTCCGGCCTCCCGCGCTCCGCTGGGGCAGGGGCGCTGCTGCTGGGGAAGGTGACCGACGTGGCGGGGCTGTGGGGGTGAGGGTGCTGCCGCTCCGAGCGCAGCCCCTCTCGCCTTGTCCGCGCCCGTAGCAGGCAGTTGCGCCTTGTGTTGGGTCACAAGCGGCAGCCGCGCATAGCCCTCGCTCGCTGATGTCTGAATCAAAACCAAGAGGAGTTTGACATCCCTCGAGTATTCTTGGTACCCTTGGCATTGTGTAACACCTGGCCAGGAAAAGCCCCAGTCCTAAACTTTGTCATGAGATTTTTTTTTTTTTTTTTTCCCCCATGCATCTTTAGCTTTCATCCAATTCCTGACCATGGTCCGTGGCCCAGGCTATCAGTTTTGGGGGAGCTTCTTGAAGTCCAGTGATAGCACCTAAACATTGTCATGAGATTTTTTTTCTTTTTTCCCCCATGCATCTTTAGCTTTCATCCAATTCCTGACCATGGTCCGTGGCCCAGGCTATCAGTTTTGGGGGAGCTTCTTGAAGTCCAGTGATAGCATTGTTGAAGCTGATCCTAAGGCAAAGAAGTTCATCCTGGTCCTTCACATACTACTTTATTAGGAGACATATGTTTTGACTCTTGAGGAGAGAGAAGGGAAAGCTTTTACTTTTTCCTATCAGTTGATTTAAAAATATGTGCTTCATGCACGTACTCTTCTGTTTTCTTACCTAAATGTAATTTGAAAAGGCATCTCTGTTCCCTTTTGTTACCTCTACCTTTGTCATGCACAAATAGATAAAGTATGACTGGACTATTGGCTAGACTTTTTATAAAGTTACTTTTAAAATTGGGGTTTTTTCCCCCATAAAGTGCATGAGTAAAGCCGGAAAGAAACATTCATCATCTTTCTCTTGGAGGTAAATCCATAAAAATATTGGTTGTCACTGCTATATTTTACCCTAGAATAAATTCTTCGCTTCCCAGGTTTTCCTGGTCAAAAAATACCTGACATCATCCCTGTTTGCTGTTTGATTTTCCAGAGCCCTGGAGAAGATGGGGAGGGGTGGACAAGAGGGCAGTTTGCTGTGGGATTTCATTTGTTCTCCAGTGGTTCACGGGGCCCTCCACCTGTGCCTGAGTTATTTTCTTTACCATGCACAGAGGTGTGGAGTTCAACCCATTCTGCTAAAGAGCTGGCGTTCGCACTCAAGCCAATCTGCCCCAATCCATCCTGTGCATGAAAAGGCATTTTTCTCACTCCATGCCTGTAGAAAAGTGCATGACAACACACCAGTGTGAAGTGTTGGAAGAGATGAGACTGGGCCACTGCCCCACATGACCATCCAGACTTAGGTGCATGCAGACACTGTGAGAGGTACGAGTCTGCTTCAGGCTAAAGACAGCCAAAGAAAGCAAAGCAGCACAGATGAGCTGCGCTCGCTTTGGAGGTGGGCTGCTCCAGGCTCCGTGGGAGTTGCCAGGGACCAGCAAATAACAGCAGCAGTCCTGGAAGGTATTTGCTAGTATTGGTAATAGTTTTCCTGTGACTACAAACTTGTTACCTCATCCAGCATTGCTTCTCATGGTTCTTCTTTATGAATATGGCATATAAGTGGGGATTAAAAAGTGGATATACAAGTTAATGTAAATATAATATAAATGACAGCTGTATGATAATGTACAGAGAATATATATGGGAAATTACTGGCAGAGATAAGTAAAATAGAAAGAATTTACTTTCTAGAATGTTTCTCTTTACCTACAAGCTGTGCTTTTTAAACTTAAAAATCTTTGTCAGTAGATATAATTAAGCCTTGTACACAATATATGACTTCCTGAGTGGCATATCTTAACACTGACAATTATATAAATTATTTCTGGAATTCATCAGAAACTGGATAGACTCAGACAGCCAAGGAACTATTTATGTTAATTTATTTTTGGGATTAGAAATGCCCTTCAGTGAATCATATTTTCCTATGGCTTTGCTGTACTGAATGTAAGTGGGTACATATAATTTGGGGAAGGATTAGGAAAAAATAAATATTTTTACTTGAGCTAAGCAAATTTGTGATAGCCTCATCTATGCTTTATTTCAAGGAGTGATTTGGTTTAATAGCTTAAGAAACCCATGAGTTTCTTTAGGAGTTGATATCTTGTCCATTCAGTTTGTTACTAGCTGAAAGCATATATGCATTTTTCCCTTTCTTCTTTTTGTACTTTTTCAGTTTTACTGCATCTTTGATCCTGCAAAATCTTTTGCTTTTGCCATTTATCCCATTTATGAAATGGGAAATAGCTGTCACATAGCTATTTTAGTGATGAGAATTTTTGTTTTTCTGGATTACATTAAATCCTATAATTTGAAATAAGGCAATTATTTGAAAATTTTATTAAAATCTACAAAATATCAAGAAAGTAATGATGCAAAAAGATGGCAGTTCCAGACAATGCGGAATGCTTTCAATAAGATGACTTTAAGCCAAACTCATTATTTTGGGGTGTTACAGTAGATAATTGCCAAGTTTCGCTCAGATCTGACTTGGCTCACAACAGGAAAATTGAAAATTGTGCAAAAGATTTGAATAAAATCAGCATGCATGAAAGCAGATGCAAATTGCTGAATCTGGAAGGTATCGTATTACAGACCTGGCTTTGTTTACTCTATTTTCATAGAGATGCTTTGCATTAGTACATATGAGCACACACACACAGATGATACATGGCTCAGAATAGAAACAGAAGACTATTAGCACTAAAACAAAAAATAATTTATTTTACTATGATAGCAAGGATAAGGATTTTTTCCAGAGAGGTGAATGAAAGAGTATAATTTGGTTTTCCAGGAAATGTAGGTATGCAGAAATTAAAACATAGCTCTGTCAATACAAGAGCCTTCACAAAGCTATTGAAGTGCATTTGTTGTCTTAATACAAACCCCAAAATTTGCAGATGCCATGTTAGTTTTTTGATGTTAATATTTTCTGTATTAATCAGGAAGGAAGCCTTTTGTAAAACTTAGTTGCTTTGTGAACTTCATTGCACCTAATATTTTACTAACAAAATAAATGCTCCACCATTTAATTTTGTGTTGTGGGAAGAGATCAAAGGTATGGGGAAGCAAAGAATACTTTTTGAAGTATTTTGGGTTTGCATAGCCAAGCTTTGGTAGTGGGGGTCTTCAAGTGTGGCTCCTGTGAGCATCTGCCAGAAGCTTCCTCTGTGTCCAGCAGAGCCAATGCCAGGCAGCTCCAGGATGGATGTGCCCCTGGCCAAGGCTGGGCCAATCAGAAATGGTGGTAACACCTATGAGATAACAGAGTTAAGAAGAAGAAAAAGAAAAGTGATTGTGCAGGTGTAATTGTGGCTGGAGCAGGGCGGGATGAGAACATGAGAGGAACTCTCAGAGGCTCTGCAGACACCAGGGTCAGTGGAGAAGGAGGGGCAGGAGCTGCTCCAGGCACCAGAGCTGAGATTCCCCTGCAGCCCATGGGGCAGCCCATGGTGAGGCAGCTGTGCCCCTGCACCCCATGGGGATCCACAGGGATGCAGAGATCCACCTGCAGCCGACGGAGGAGACCCAGATTGGAGCAGGTGGATGCCTGAGAGGAGGCTGTGACCGTGTGGGAGGCCCGTGCTGGAGCAGGGTCCTGGCAGGGACCTGCAGACCTGTGGAGAGAGGCAAAATAATGGGTAATAAACTGACCATAACCCCCCATTCCTATATCCTTGCACTGCTGGGGGGAGGAGATAGAGCTGGGAAGAAGGGAGGGGTCGGAGGAAGGTGTTTCTAAGGTCTTATTTTACTTCACATTATCATGCTCTGATTTTGTTAGCAACAAATTTAGTATGTCTAATAGGCTAGTTTTGCCTGTTACAGTATTTGATGAGTGATGTCTCCCTGTCCTTATCTCAAACTATGAACTCTTTGTTGTATTATCTCTCCCCAGTCCGGCTGCAAAGGGGAATGAGAGATCAGCTTTTGGTGGATGTCTGGAAGTCAGCCAAAGTCAATCAACTAGAAAAAGAAGTTTTTTACTTGGAAATTATAGGCAAGGCGTTATAAAAATGACAAATGTCTCAAGGAAACTGCTGCCTATCCTGATGAGGATGCTGCCATGCAGCCACCTGTATTCTCCAACTTAGGAAGAGTAAGGAAGGCACTAGTATGCTGACTATCAGCCTTAGATACCTATCTCAATCTGCTCTCCATTTGCCATTTTTATTGTGTCATCAGGAATAAGGGGTAAATTACAGGAAATAACAACTGGACAGCCTATCAGAGGACAGTAATATTTGAGTCTTCTTAAAATACACACTGGTAAATCACTAAAATTTCACAGATATATTCTTTTTCTTCAAAAGACCAACATTCCCTTGCTCTTCCAAACTATAATGTGCATCAAATACCCTATAAGTTGCCCCGGAAACTTCTTCAATTCATTCAGTAGGGTAAAAAACTGTAACTGTAAATATGACAGTAGCAAACTGGAAAGAGTCAGTAAAATTGTCTAACATTAAAGGAAAGGAAGAGACTGCTATATGTCAAAGAAACAAACAAAAACTTTCCTTAA